AAAAAAAAAAAAAAAAAGTCTGCTTTGACGAGAAACGCCTGTTGTGCTTCCTTTTTCGCGGCGGGCGGCGTGTGCTCCCGGCGTCCAGGCGAGCGATGGCGGCAGGGTGAGTGTGCAGGGCGGGCGGAACAAAGGCGGGCGGGCGGCCGGGGAAGATGTCCGCCCGCGATCGCCGGGGCCCGCGTCTCGGCACGGGGGGTGGGGGTCCCGGGAGCCCCGCGGCAGCCTGGGTCCTGCGGCCGAGGGCGGGGGTGGCCGCGAGCGCCCAGGGTCGCCGTTGGGAGGATGTCCGTTATCCTGCGGGGACCCGCGGAAACCTGGGATGGAGCCGTTGGGTGCGGGCCCCGCCGCGGCTCGGGGCGCCCTTCCCCGCCTGCCCCTTGGCAGATCGGGGCATCTCTGCGACGTGTGCGCCTGCCTGCACGGTGTCCGGTCGTCCAGTCTGGGTCGGGCGGCCGCCGCGGCCGCGCGCAACTTCTGGTTCTCCCCTTTCCTTGCACCGATGGGCGTTACACTGACCAGCTGTGTTACAGCGTGGTGGCTCTGCCCCGCCCCCTCCTCCTGGTCGACCCGACCGAGCGAGGCGCTTCAAACAGTGCAAAGATTTGATGGTTTTTAGGAGGATCGCGAATATCTGCCAAGGGTGTGGGTGGGTGTGTGTGTGTGTGTGTGTGTGTGTGTGTGTGTGTCTCTCTCTTGTTTGCTTTTTGGTCCGTTTCACGCCCGTGTCAGTCTGAAAGCGTAGATATTTCCCGATTGGATTAGTGCAAAACTGTTGGTGCAGCCGAAACCCTGGGGTGATTGTGACTCGCACTCTGTCTGACCTTTGGTCCGACCGGTCAAGGCATGCAGGTGTCCACGAGGAGCAAAGACAAGGGGATGCATCCTGATGCAGCGCTGGTTTTATGAAGCCGGTGGAGGCCCTCGTCCCTCAATGGCCTTGGACTTGATTTTTTTAAAGATTTCTAGCCTAAGAGGGAAAGTTAGCATTTCCTCTTCGAAGCTGCACTCCGAAACCCCGGGTAATCCCCCTTGGAACGCTGCACCCACACAGTTTGGCATAGTCAGATCTGCTGAATTAAGTCATTCTCGCTTCCTCGCTTATGAATTCTGCATGAATATTGCACACAGGAAAACCAGTCGGGGAATTTTTACTCTTATTTAATGTCTCTCTTTTCATTTCACTTCCCCTCCCCCAGGTAGTTGATGGGAAAATGTCTTTGCAAGTCGTTGATGTTTCCCCAGCAGAGAGCAAGAGAACTTTAGTAATACATTAGGGGAAGTCCCCCGTTAGGCAAACGCTTGCTGAGTCAGAGCTGTAGATAGTTGACTCCGGTGGGGAAAGCCTCAACGTTGTCTGAAAGGGTGCGGGTGTTGGAACAGGTTCCTGGGTCATGAACAGGGTTTGAAACTTGCCCCAGACCAGATGCCCCAAGAGGCAGCCAACACGTGTTCTGTGTCCCAAGTTGGGATCCCAGCCCTTCCATTCCATAGCGGTGGGGGTTTTATGACTACCCATGCAGACATTGTATTGTTGCTTTTATCTGCTTATACTTGGTGCTGGTTTGTGCCACAGTTCTTGTCTCTCTGGGATATACACCTAATAGTGCCATTGTGAACCAAATGGTATTTCAATATCCAACTTTCCAAGGAAGCTCTAAACTGCTTTCCATAGTGGTTGCACCATTTTATATTTTTATGGGCAGAGAGTATCTCAGGATAGGTCATTGTCTAGAGGAGGCAGGTTTGAAGCAACAGCTGACTCCTCTGCCAATCGGGATATGGCCCCCAGTGCATCTTCTTTTCTAACCTCGGCCTATCTTTCGATAAAAGATTTTGTGATCAATGTTTTAAAAAAAAGATATGTCATTATCAAATATTTTTTTTCCTCAATCTGTAGGTTCCTTTTTTTTTCTCTTTTTAGAGCAGTCTTTTGATGCGCATAAGGATTTACATTTTAAGAGATCCCAGTCAACCTAGTGGCAAGAAGCCACGCTGCAATCTTGAAGGCGTTCGGTTTGAATCCACCAGATGCTCCCCTGAAGGAGGAGAAGCAATCTGCTCCTGTGCCAGTCGGATCTGATTTGATGGTACACAAGAAAAACAAAACCAACCAAAAAGAGATCGCAGTCATCTGACATCTCCTCCGTTGGCTGTGCATTTTCAGTTTTATTTGATAATCTGTTATGTCATTGATCAGGATTCCTACGTTAACCCGTATTTTCTCTTTCTGATCGTCAGGTTTAGGTTTTCCACTGAAGGCCTTGGTCCATCTTGAGTGAGTTTTGGTATATAATGTGAGGTGTTGGTCTTCAAATTGATAACTTATTTTGCCAGCATTCCTTGTTAAAAGAGGCTGTTTTTCTTCCTTTAGTAATTTTCATCTCTTTGTCAAAGATGAGTTGTCTGTAGGTTGTTGTTAGGTGTCATTGAGTCCAGTACAGCTCACAGCCACCCTGTGAGTAACACCCCTGAGCCCTCTCCTGTCCTGTGCCGTCCTCCTCATCTCTGACACACTAGGGCCCATTGCAGCCGTCAGCTGTGTCAGCCCATCTCACTGAGGGGCTTCCTCCACCTTTCCAAGCTCCTAACAACATGCCCAGAGTGAGGTGAAGCTTTGTCGTCTTCCTCCAAGGAGCCCTCTGGCTCTCCTTACTCCACGGCATATCTGTTGTTGTGGCAGTCCTTGGGATATTCAGGCCTCTTCTCCAACGCTACAGGTCAAAAGCATCAATTCTTATCCAGTGTCTGTCGATTGCTGTTGTGGACCGTGAGTTGGAGCCAGCCCATAGCTGCTGACCCTCCAGCGGGTTTTCACGAGGAGATTGCCCAGCCTTCCCTTGCAGAGCAGCTCGTGGCCTTGAATCGCATGCCTTTGGGATTGCAGCACAGCTTCTTGCCACTGGGCCACCAGAGCTCCCTTGTCTATAGGTAGATGGATTTATTTCTTGGTTTTCCGTTCTCTTCCATTGGTCTTTGTACCTGTGGTTGTACCAGAACCAAGTTGTTTTGATTACTGTGGCTGTGTGGTGGGTTTTGAGACTAGCAAGTCCAAGGCTTCGTTCTTGGTTTTCCTTCTGCAGTATCTATCCCTTTGCCTATTCAGGGTCTCTTTCTCTGGTGGAGTTGGTGGTTACCTTTCCCATCTCTTTTAAAACGATGCTGGGATCTGGATTAGGATTACATTACATTGATGCATTCGTTGCTTTTATTAATATTTCCAGTGTTGGGCCTTGTAATTCGTGAGCATGATGTTTCTTTCCATTTAGGTAGGTCTGTTTGGATTTCTTTTAGTCGTGTTTTGTAGTTTTAAGTAGCTAATTTTTATCTCTGGTTAAATTTGCTCTTAAATATTTCAACTCTTGAGTTGCTGTTGTAAATGGAGCTGTTTGCCTTTTTTCTTGTTCAGCATTTCATTATTACAGTAGAGGACTCTGACTAGTTTTTGTGTTAATCTTGTATCCTGCCACGTTACTGAATTGGCCCATTAGATGTATTCATTTCCTTGCTGAGATTGTATCATCTGCAAATAGGAATAATTTTACTTCCACCTTTCCAGCTTGGGTGCCTTTTTTTCCCTTTTCTTACCCTATGGCTCTGCCTAGGACTTGAGATCCAGTACCTGTAGGAGTGGTGAGAAAGAGCAGCCTTATCTGGTGCCCTTTTGCAGAGGCAGCGCCTTCCATCTCTCCCTTCAGAGTGGTATTGGCCGCTGGTTTTGTTATAAATGCTTATAACCATGGTTTGACTTTCCCTTCTCTTGCTATTTTATTGAGTTTTTATTAGGGAACAATGTTGAATTTCATCAAATGTGTTTTCTGCATCAGTTGAGATGATCATGTGGCTCTTTTCCCTTTTTTTAATTGGTGTGGATCACACATTTATTTACCGTGGACGTATGGTTGGTTGCCTACCTGGTACGAACCCACTTGATCATGAGAGGTGATTCTTTGGTATGATACTGAATTCTCTTGGCTTGGATTTTATTGAGACATCTTAGGTGCACGGGTATCTTAATGGGTCGTTTTCTTTTTTTAATGTCTGTGTGGTTTCGTAATAGGGTTATGTTTGCTTCGTGCAATGAAA